CACCTCACCTCTTATCTGACAAGTCTTCGGGTTTGAGTCGTTCGTTCATCACGTGACAGCCCCATAAACTTAACCAATGCAGTCTGAGCCGGAAAGAGAATTGATTAGTTCATCTCTCGAGTCTTCGGGTTTTTCGAGTCCTTCGTTCATCACGTGACAGACCCATATGCTTAACCTATGCTGTCTGAGCCGGAAAGAGACTTAATAATAATAACCAACTCTTTATTACCTTTGTTACAACATTCAGTGTTATGGAAAATAACCATCATGACAGAAATTCACAGATTTAGAAACTTTAGAAACTGAAAAGCTACAATTTGAGACCAGAAACGCATCACGTAACTGTAAGAGTAAATAATAATTATAATAATTATAATAATAATAATAATAATAACTAGGCACCCGTTTGTAAGGAAGCTTGTAAATTAAATAATTTCTCTATCCAATGCTGTCACGTCACGTGACAAAAGAACAAATGATTCGAAAGTCTCGAGAGATGAACTAATCAATTCTCTTTCCGGCTCAGACTGCATTGGTTAAGTTTATGGGGCTGTCACGAGATGAACGAACGACTCAAACCCGAAGACTTGTCAGATAAGAGGTGAGGTGAGCTAATCATAGACTGAAGACCCAGGTAAACAATGAATTAATCTTTTCTGTTTCTTATTGCAGTTTTGTATTGTTTGTAGTGTGATCAACGTTTGCATTAGTAGACGTGTTAGGGAAGTAACATGTAACATTTTAATTGTATTTTGCTAAAATGAACGAAATGACTCGAAAAAAGATTCGTTCATTTTGCTGAACGAGACTCAAAGGTCCGAGTCGGTAAAATGATCCGAACTTCCCATCACTACTGAGAGCAGCTCGGAAGAGAGGGGCGGGGTCAGCAGAGCTCATTAACATTTAAAGGAAAATGCTACAAAAACTGCTTGATCTGAAAAGAGCTGTTTCTGACAGGGTAAAAAAAGGTGTTTTTTACACTACCATTGAGAAATTTTAACCAAACTATGTTACAGACTTTTCATTAAGACCCTAAAGAATCATATAAACTTGTGGAAAATGGGCATCCTATGCCCCCTTTAAGTTAAATATGCAAGAAGCAAGAGACTTGCTTAAAGTCTCCATTTGCACTTCATTTAATCTGATTGGTGTCGAGGAGAAAAGGTTGAGATCATTTGCATATGTTGCAAATTGACAGATGTATTGTAACACATATGTTTCTGTAGCAGTGGTGTGCATGTGCATGTGTGATTTTACTTTAGTAGAGTGAATGTGACCCCCTTAGTGTCTGTGTGTACATGACTGCAAACATGCGTCAAAGTGTGAAAATCACCTCCACCTCATTCTGCTCTCACACCCATCATCACCTTCCACAGCAGGAGATTTGTGCCTCCTCTGCCCTCCTCTTCCACTTCCCAGCGCTTCCATGGATTCTCTCTGTTTCTGATGTTTTTCTCCATATAAATGTTTACGGCACTTGTGTGGCACTGCATAGTTGATTTTACAGTTTTGTGTTTTAGCATGGGTCTTATTGAGTTCAGAATTTGAGTTTTTCTACCCTGAGCTCTCTTATTCACTCTTTGAAAATGAAGTTTCTTCACATTATACTACAAAAATTATTTTGTTTAATCGAGTCCTTGTAATTTAGTTTTTTTTGTTTGTTTGTTTTATTCAAAAAATAATTTGTTACATTTATAGGTTCTTATGTAAGAGAGTAAAAATGAAACTTAATGCAAAAACACAAACACCCAGAGTCTGCTTCTCAGTAGCCTGAATGCTACAGGTTCTTGTTAGCATGGGAAATTTCTTTTTTTTTGGAGGGAACTTCGAAGACACCCATTAGTTCTGGGCAACATACAGCAGAAAAAAAAATGGTGTGGAGTGGAAAGACTGCAAGTCTGTCTGAAAACAAGCTAATGTAGTCAAGTCTATTAAGTTCAATGCCAAGTTGTGGCTCATGATTATTTTTTAATTATCAGTGATTTCTCCACTCATTATTCAAAATTGTAAATATTTACATCTTGCGGCATCATTTCCGTAAATGAATTTCATATGGTTTCATGTAGTTGAAGTCTATTATTATGTGTATTTATAATTTTTTCAGGATATCAAGATATAGATGGTGCCCCTTAATATTGGGAGGGTTTACTGTGTGTGAGAGAGATTTGTAAGTGATTGCAGTTCTTGATATTTTCATCTCGAACTTCAAACAAACCAATAAAGTTTTCCTGTGTGAATCAGACCACCTAAACAGCTCCCATGATTCAAACCATACCAGCCTGCCGTAGCTCAGCTCAGACCCCTTAGATTGTCTGTGGCTTTAAAAGCGATTGTGTGGAAAATATATTAGCTGTTTATATCTTATTATCTTGTAAACCAATGCATTTAATTGTTTAACATGCTGATATCCTTTTTAATATGCGCCATTTAAGCATTGTTGATCAGTTTGCTTCCAGATTAGACCAGCAGAGCTTACTCTGGCAGACAAGACTAAACAGTTCCACAAAATTTGTGAGTAATACTGTTGGAAAGGATATCTCCATTACTTAATATCCAAATTTCCCCCCTGTTGTATTTTTAGTTTTTCATTTTTTTTGAGCATTGAAACATTTGGGAATCATTGTAGCATATTGTTGAAATGAATCATTTCTGTTAGTTCTTGTGAGTTGTTCCCTTGTCATTCCAAAAGAGTAACATCTCCACGATGACCACTGGAAAATGTTGGGGGGGATATTATTGTCTTACCTTAGAGGTGAGTTTTCCATCACTATCCAGAAAAAACACCTTTTTTTTACCTTTGGATCTTCACTTTGTCTGTCTCATATTGTAGACTTGGATTTCAAATTAAATACGATTAGGATAATCACAAAAACAGAAGTCACATTAATAATTCATGCGAGTTTGTTTCAGGCTGGATTGAGGCCACTGTTCTGTCTTTTCCATGGAGTTTCTTAGGCAAGCATCACCATTATTATTGCTCATCCGTTCAGTTGGGGGTTTGAACAAACCCCAAATCCTGAGTATTAAACTTCTGTGCATGACTCATCTCAGTCTGCTTGTGCTAAAGATATGAATGATTCCTTAAAACATGAAGCTTGTTGGAGATAGATTTGCTTTGATACTTTTATAAGCACTTGTGATTTTTCTGGCAGGTGATGAAACAGGTGAAAAAATAGACAAAAAAATAAAGAAAAAGAAAAAAAGAGCCAATATGCAACTATGTAAAATTCCTGCACTGCTGTTGGTAAGAATTTTTTTTTTTTAATGAAGTCTCTTATGTTCACCAAGGCTGCATTCATTGGTTTAAAAAATACAATAAAAACAGTAATATTATTGCAATTAAAATAGCATTTTTCTATTTTAATATATTTTAAAACGTAATTTACTCCTGTGATGCAAAGCTGAATTTTCAGCTGCCATTACTCCAGTCTTCAGTGTCACATGATTCCTCAGAAATCATTCTGATATGCTGATTTGGAGCTCAAGAAACATTTCTCATTATTATTAATGTTGAAATCCGTCTTGATGCTTATTATTTTTTATTTTTATCAGGATTATTTGATAGAAAGTTTAAAAGAATTATGTTTATCTGAAATAGAAACATCATTTTGTAACATCATAAATGTCTTTTCTGTCACTTTTGATCAATTTAATGTGTCCTCGCTGAATAAAAATATTTATTTATTTATTAATCTTACTGACCCCAAATTGTTTTTTTTGAATGGTAGTGTAGCAACATCCTGGCAACCATCCATGACACCCTATCAAGGGTAAGACTTAATTACATTTTTGAAGAAAATATTATATGTATTTCTTTCACTTCGTCTCTCTTTCAGAAAGAAGTGCTGTGAAGGTTTTAAGTTTGTACTGGGACAGTGTATTCCAGAAGGTAAGACCTCTTTCCGTCACTCGCTCTCTCTCTCTCTCTCCCTACCCAGATTAGACTCCTCTGGGTTGAATTTGCTCTGATATTTCTGGACATGTTTTCCCTCGTCTCCCATTAGTGTTCTAAACAAAATCATTCCTTTTGGAAACCATTCAGCTAGAGCTTTTAATGTTGTTTTAACATTTCCAGCACACCTTAAACAGCTTGGCAGAGTTTCCCCACCAGTAACGATAGCTTGATTACCTCGTGTGTGTTTTTATAGTGGGAACAGGTCAGTATATTAGCTTATGAATTCAGTAATATACTTCTCGATCTTTGGTTGACGGGTTCAAACCACTAATGAGTTTTTACTCGTAACTGTCAAATAAAAATATGCAACTATATTGTCTGTGTTTTGCGGTTCGCCATGCCACATTGAGAGGGTGTATAGTGGTCCCTGGAACCCTTTGAGACCGTCTACAGCTTGTTTTTAAAGCCTTTTTTCTGTTTCTATGCTGTTTGTGTACTCTGGTGTCCTTACCTGCCCTCTCTCCGCTGATGAGAAACACATAAATTACCGGTTGAGAATGGACACATATTTCCCTGACTCGTACTGCATTCCATGCTGTGCCTGAGATGGTTTGGCTCTTCCCGGAGAAATCATGGAATAAGGAAAAGATATGAGAATTGTTGGGCTGGAACTGGCAGTAATGGTTTCCCAGACCTCAGTGTTTTGTTTTAGCTATTGTAATAAAATTCTGAAGGGAAAAGCCTTTTAAAGTAGCACATTTGCATATGATTTTCGGAATTGACAGTTATATTGTGGGTTTTGATTTAAAGCTAGGTTTGGTTTTTGTAGTCTTGTGCTTTCCTCTCTTGCTGTGTTGATATTTGTTTGTTTGTGGGTGTGTTTGTATACGCAGACTATGATGTGTGTGCTGGCGCCCCATGTGAACAGCAGTGTACCGATCATTTCGGCCGTGTGGTGTGCACCTGTTATCCTGGGTATCGCTATGACCGGGAACAACATAGAAAGCGTGAGAAACCATACTGCCTGGGTAAGATTTTGCTCTTATTTAGATAGTGAGAAAAGTGAACTTATTTGAGTATATCGAATACAGATATGAGTGCAAAGTACTGTATTACCGTGGTAGGCAGGGTTTGGCATTACTGAAAAAAATGTGCAAAAAAAAATCAGTTTTCACACAACAAATGTGCAGCACAGGTACGAAAGCATTAATCAAATACAAGAAAAAGTGATGATGACCATTTGCTTTTGGTCTCCAGCATAATTGTGTATGCAATTTGTGTGTGTGTGTGATGCTCAAAATGTACATTTACCCATTTTATATATATATTTTTCTGCTGTGAAATAGTTCATAGTAAAATAGTTCATAATTCATAGTTCATACATTTATTTTTTATATAAATATATAATTATGAATATAATTAAATTCTTACATTTACTTTATTATTTATTATTTATTTATAAACTACTTAAATTTAGTTTTCCTGAAACTGGTTACCATGGAAACTTTTTTGTAAAAATGTTTTTGCTTTTCAAAAAGACCATTAACGTTAAATTGGACTTGTTTGAAGTATCAGGAATATTTAACAGTATGGATATGTTAGCGCCCTCTATGGGTTGTTTTTAATTCACAGGGTTGATTTCTCAATGCCTCTTTAATAACAGCATGAGTGTTTCTTAAAGGGTCTGACCTCCCAGACTGCTGAAGTGTTAAAGGGGTCATATGATGCTGCTAAAAAGAACATTATTTTGTGTATTTGGTGTAATGAAATGTGTTTGATGGGAGACAGATATTGTTTCTCAGGCTGATCTGACAGAAGCGCTCCATACTGCCCCAGGAGCGAACATCACGTCTTTTGTACTTTGCCAACTTTCCGTCCCTCACACTTTCACTCTCTGTTCTTGCGTTAGACATTGATGAATGTGCCAACAATAACGAGACGGTGTGCTCACAGATCTGTGTGAACACCCCTGGCAGCTACCGGTGTGAGTGCGAGAAAGGCTTCTACCTAGAGGATGATGGGAAAACATGCACCAAGGGCGAGCGAGGTGAGTGTATACTCTCTGGATCTTTGTTTGTCTTTCTCAGCAACACAACATTTGTTCTTTTACTTTAGCTTGCTCGCTTTCTTTTTGGTCTTTGCTTCTTTTCTTCTGTAGTTTGGAGTTTCCCAGACTTTTGTGGACCTACAAAGCCGTTCATGACCTGAAACTGTGCACTAACACCTCTTTCAGACTTTCACATTTTAATTGCTGAAATAATTGCTGTAGCGAGATCCAGAGAAACCGTTTTTAACATATAAAAGGTAATGAATCAACTTGGCAGTCGTGTTTTTGTGAAGAAATTTGTCATAAACTTTGAATTTTATGTATTTTATACTCCGTTTCAGTGGTTTTTAGTCAGTAGTTTTATACTGAATAGCCATGGGGTATTTTTTATCACGTAATTCGCAATGCTTCATGGGATTGTAGTTCATTTCCACAGTTTTCTCTTTTCTGTGAGATTTTTGTTCAGTTTGAGAGCCACTTTCCCGTTAGAAGCTGCTTTTGCAAGCCTCACAGACCTGCTTTGATTTGCCCAATGCATTTCCGACAAAGGTTTTGAGGTTTTAAATAGAGCACAGAGAACCAGAGATATTCATTTTCCTGTCTGGACCTGACCATCCACAGATCTCTCCATCACACAGGTGTGGAAAGGATTGAGTGAGGTCTAAATGCTCTGAGAGGTCATGGATGCCTCATCTAGTTAAAGCAGTGCAAACACAAAGAAAGATGTGCAGAAAATAAGCCAAGTGGATAAGGGTGGATATGAAATTTAAATTTCCTTTTTGTATCTGAATAATTCCAATGTCCAAACAAAAAAATCTTCAGAAAAATCCTTTAGGTCCCACAAATTCTTTGGTTTTCTAGTAGGGCTGCACGATAAATCGCATGCGATATTTAATGCGCATCTTGTCAGAAAGCCGGTTCTGTAATCAGCGGTAAATCTCCATCACCTGCGTGCTTTCACATTGAGCAGCATTAACTACACAGAGCCGTTGTTCAC